AAAAAAAAAAAAAAAAAAAAGCAACCCACATATGCAGGTAAAGGTCCACCCCAGGGAGTCTCTGGTTTAAAAGTAATCACCACTCTGTCCCAAAGATGACTGGCATCCCCAGCCCGTTAAAGCTCCATTACAAGGATGGGACACAGGTATGATTAGAGCAAACTTATCAAGGCCAATAGAAAAATAAATGTGGCTGGAGAGCCAGTAACAGTGTCCTCTCTGTCTGCAAAGATTGGCAAAGAGCTATTATTCTGAAGTGGGCTCAGGAAAACAGGATCGACAACTAAGAATAGCAGCTGTTTATTACACTGTGAATAAAACTTTCTCCTATCCCTTTCCATGTAACAATCAATCTTGAAAAGGAAAGGGCCTGATTATATGTTGCTTTCACCACAGGGGAAAACAGACAGGAACGTTCATAACCTTTGTGTCTACCTTCCCTAAATGGTCGCCCTATTACCCCATCTTAAATTCCCAGACCACCAACACAAAACACAACGCATATACTAAAGATCCACAAAGCTTTGAGGACAAGAAAATTGTGTTAATGACTGTCCATTACAGTCAATGCATTTTAAATTTGTCTCATTTTCAGTTGCTCCAGACTGAGGTTTGTATTCACTGTAATAAGCTTAAAAGGACGCTGGGTCTCTCTTACCTTGCTGATGAAGGTTGGTTTTAACCTTGCAGTGGCATAGCAAGGATTGAAATACTTAGACAGTGTTCGCTGGTAGGAAACAAAAGAAGATAAAGTTTACTAAATTTAGCTTCCAATTTAAAACAAACATTTTGTTATTATATGTTGGTAACAGTTGCTGAGTGCTTACCACATGCCTGGCTCTATGCTACAATAAGCCCTTTATCTACACCTTCTATTTTCCTAAATGAGCATTATCTACATTCTTTATAAATCATACATGGGTTACTGAAAGTAGATTTTAAAAATTTGTAGCTTTATTTGTCAATTCCTATAAAATTCTAACACAGTAACTATCAAAGTCTGCCTGATACCTCTTTCCACTAAATAAACTCAATAAATCTCTTTTACCACTATTTTCTTTATATTCACTGGATTTGGAGCCAAAAGATGAGGTCATTATGCTATGCTTATGTGCTCAAATATTTGTAAAACCAATATGGACATATGCAAATTAACCATTCCATGTTCATACAGCTATGATTTTAAAAGCCAGTTCTAGACAATCCATAGGAGTGGTTCCATTAGACAGCAAAAAGGTCTCGGTTATGCAGAATACTCCTAACAGAGTTTGGATAGGGCTAGCTGGTCTGGGTTTTATTGCCATCAGCTGAAAGGATTTGGACTGAAGACAAAAACATGCCTGTTTGAAACTGATCATTCATGTGTTCGCTGAACCACCACCAAAGCAAGATGGCAGTTAATGTATGTTTTTTTAAAAATTCTTGGTAAACAGATTAAAAAAAAATTGCAATAAATTATCCCCATAAAGTGAAACTCAGTACAACAGAGTGGTTCTTTTTTGCCTTAAATGCTAAGTAATAATAAAAGAATATTTTCCTTAAACAAACTCACCGGTGTTGGAAGAGTTCGATATCTGACATAAAAAACAGCAGCAATCAACATTACGTCTCTTGAAATTATCATATAAGTAAGTGGAACTGAAAATCAAATAAGAAATCATTTTGATTGGGATTTTTTAAATTACTAAGATACTACACATACAATGAAATCTCATTTAGCCTTTCCATAAACTGGTGTTTCTCATAAGTAAAAATTTTCGCTTTTTATAAATACCTATCAAAGGCTTAGGGTCCTTAGAGCAAACCATTGATTTTCATCTTCTTTAACATGCACTCAAAACAAAGTGAAGACTGTGGCTTTCAAAGTCTAGGTCTGCCTTTCAGAATATTAATCTTCTAGACCTCTTTTTGTTTTTTTCTTGCATGATTTAAGCTGCAATTAGTTATCAGTATCGGCTCTACCCACTATCTCTTTTGTTATTTCTCAGCTTTGTGAGTTTGGGAGAAAGGATCACCATGCTCACTATAATCACATGGAATAAAATGGAAACGAGGTTGGAAAGGATGTCAGGACTCAACCCATTCTGGCATCTTAGGACCTGTGATCACTTGCTTCTACATTCTAGACAACTTTATAAACAGTAAATAAACTTTGCTACATGTACCACTTGTGCAGAAACAAAATATTCTCATTCTTGTCTGGGCCAGTTCCTACCCCAGCAATTGGTACTTTTTCTCCCACCCCCCTCATTCGATGACTTCTAATTACACATGAATTCAACGGTCAATACTTTCCCATTATTCCTAGGAGTCCACAGCCTGAACCCAGGGCCAGAGCCAGCAGACGGGTATTTGAGATGGACACCCAAGGAAGCCCCACTGCTCCCTTCTGGAATGAGAATGTGAGTCAGGGGACTTGTTTCCCTTTGTACCCTTTGTGCTGTAAGAAGTCTTAACCATGAACATGTATCATTTTTATAAGGAAAAAAATATTTTTTTAAAAAAGGGGACAAAATCCTAAGGCTAAAACTCAGTTCAAAATGTTTTAATTACTAAAACAATCATTACACCCCCCCTTCCATAATCCTTTCAAACAGCTCTTGTGAATTACTTTTGAGGCTCTACTTATGGTCCTTTCTAGTTCTGACATTCTGTTGATTCTGCAACTTGAGAAAAATCTCACTAGTGAATTACAGATTTAAAATTTAAATCTCTGCTGGTCACAGCTATGATGTGTTGACCCTTGGCAAGTCCTAGATGACAAGACTATCCCAAAGAGAAAATGGTTCTCCACGCAAGTCATGGCATTTGGAGCACACAGAAGACATAGTAAATGAACCAAGTAACAAAAGCCAGCCTGCCATGATTTTTAGGGGCCTTTTTGTGCCTGTGAAACAAATGTTTTATAGCAATCATTAGCTAGCAACACCTAACAGCAACTGGATTTTAAAATGCAGCAAAATCACACAGATTACATACAGTAAATCTCCTAAGCATAACTTCAGATGAAAATGAACACCTATTAATGAATTTCATCACCACAGGGAAAAAGGAGTGAGACTTAATCCTAAATAAGAGATTTCTGCAGAGAAGATGAGACGATTCAATACACTGCAATGGGCTCCAGTTCTATTAACTACCAAAATTACAATTTATGAAGCACTGTTTTAAGTCTTTCATACATACTGTCATTCAATCTACGCATCAACTACATAAATAGGGATCGTCATTACCCCCATTTTACAAATACAGAAATAAGCCTCAGGCAGACTGTATAACCCCGCCAACGTCACCCGTCAGCCAGCAGAGCCGGAAATGGATCCTAGGTCCACGGAACTCACAGCCCATGCTGGGCAATGCATTAGGCACCAACAATTAGCATCTCTGGAATCAACTTACCCTCTGTAACAGTCTGTTTGAGAAAGAACTGTGAACAAAATCAAGGGTTCCCCAAGCTGACTGCATCACACAGTCGCTGGGGAGAGCCTCATAAAAAGCACAGAAGGAAGCTCCCTGGGGGAGTCTGGGTGATCTCTAAGCCTCTGCCAACTGACAGCAGTCACACAGGCTCTTACTTTGGTTCTTTGGGCAATTTTATCCAGTTCCCTCAGTTTCAAATCTTCTAAGCGATCCTTCTTTCTCTCCGGGCCTTCCCCTCCCTTTTCTTCCAGAGCTAGAACAGCTTTCCTTTGCCTACCAGGGTGCGACAGCATGGTGGCGGGGCGGGGCAGGAGGGTGCAAAAGCTGTCGGGCTGCCCCAGGGTTCTTCTCCCTACTTGCTAACTCGTCTGAAACAGTTAATGTCTGCAACAAGGAAGTGCACCATGGGCAAATTTTATTAGCGTTAAAGGGAAATAATAAAATTAAGTCGCTTGTACATATTAAAAGTGGTCATTATCAATACGGGTTATTGTATTGAAAACAACAAATTTAATAGCAGATTACTCTAGAAACTGATGTAAACCAGCAATGAGTACCTGCTCTAGAGCAAACCAGAAATAAAATGACATGAAAAGGAGCCATGACCTGGTAAATGTGGCAGAATACACATTAAGTAAGTAGAAATTAACTCAGACTCAGACCCTACACTGCCATAAATGTAACAAACCAAAGAATTTGTTTCACCCTCTCTCCTCTTCCAGAGGAAGAGCAGGAAAAGCAGAATTACTTATGATCCTAGCCGAGGAAGAACGCAGGCGTCTTACTCTGGAAGCAGAGGCTATTCAAATCAAAGTGGATAGGACTTTTACAGAAAAGCAGTGTAAGAAGACAACGAGATGGCACATAGCATCCCTCCCTCCAAACCCGTCTAAAACAACAGTAAAGGACTGAAAGGATATAAAGTCACAGAGACAAGGAGAACAGGGAGACTAAGTTTATTAGTAGTAACTACCCCAATAGAGTAGGGAGAGCCGGAACCTACGTTCTTCACAAAGGGAAGCCCACGAGAAGCAGGCCCTCGGGCCCCTGCCCTCCCCAGCACCATTCGGCCAGGTCTCTGTGCCCGCCTGTGGCTCTCTGCAGCTAGGAGTGGTTTTTACAGTTTTAAATGGTTATGGTGGAAAACCCAAGAGTGCTATTTCTCAGCACATGAAAATTATATGAAATTCAATTTCTAGTGTCCATAAGCAAAGTTTTATTGAAACACTGCCACACTCATTCATAAATATATTTTCTATGGCTGTTTTCACACCACGATAGCGGAGTTTAATGATTTGGTTGCAACAAAGACCACACAGCCCACAAAGCCTCAAATATTACTATCTGGACCTTTATAGAAAAGGTTTGCCAACCCTTGTTCTACATGTTATCTCTGAACACTGGGTTCACCGGGGTACAGTGGGATTAAGTGAAGGTCAACATACTGAAAACTGAGATACCCCCACCCCAAGCTTCCTCCCATGGCTTAGCTTCCAAACCACTGGAGGCAAGAAGAGCTTTTCTCTCTACCGAACAGACCTAAAGGTACTGAGAATTCAGGGTCATGCCCGGTCCCTGTCTTTCGCCCTAAAGGGAAACACACTACCCAACAAACTCCACCAATGCCCAAAGAGAGCTCATTAACATATTATGCCTCCCTAAAATATAAGTAGGCAGCCAAAGATCAACAGACATTTCAGCCAAGTCTCCATTGCAAAAGAGAGACCAAAACAAACGGGAAAAAAAGGAATCTGAAAGAATGGGGGTAAAAAACAACAACAGAAAAGCTTAAAAATAAAAATACAAACAGTCATATGCCACTTAAAAACAGAGACAGGTTCTGAAAAATGTGTCATTAAGGTGATATCGTTGTACAAAGAAATACAGTCATTAATTACAGACAACACATAATTGAGGATACAGAAAACCCAAGACTTTATTTACATCTATGTCATTAGCATAAGAGTTTAGCAAGTTTTACCAGACACAAAAATCAGCATGAGAAAAAGAAGTGATTTTCATCTATCAACAGTTATTACAAAATGAAATAAAAAATCACCATTTATAAAATCACCAAGATCAAGTACCTAGAAATGAATCTAATAAAAATTATTTATTACCTCTCTAGGGAAAACTAACATTTTGACATTTTTAAAAGCTCTAAATAGGGCAGATATATCACGTTTGTAGACTGGGAGACTCGATGTTGTAAAGATATCAATTCTTCCAAACAGGACTATAAATTCAATGCAGTCCCAACTAAAATCCCAACAGGATTTTCTGGGGAACTTGAAAAACTGATTCTAAAATTTACAAATGGAAAGGGGTAAGAATACCAAAGGTGGAAGGACTTGCTCTACCAGATGTCAAGACTTTCAGCAAAGTAATAATTACGAATGGTATTGGTACAAAGACAGACAAATCAATGGGGGAAAAATCTGGACAATCCAGGCATGAACCCATGTACATATGGACATTGAAGTGAGTCTGAAAGTCTACAGAACAGGGTCCTCAGAACTGAGTGAGCTCTCTGGATCTCAACTTAGCTTATGGCCACATGGCAGCACGCCAAGGACACTCGCTCCTTCTGTGGCAAAACCAACAGGAAGTGACAAGCTGTAGGGAGCTGGCACTGTGGCTCCTGCATGAAAACAGACCAGCAGAAGCTCCACAATTTGAAATCTTACTAGCTTACAATAAATGGATTAATTTATGTAACAACAAAACCTGAGTGAAAATAATCTGCAATTGAAAATTATGGCCAGTTCAAACCTCAATCAAGCAGGAAGAGTAGAATAACATTTCAGATGTCTACTAGATGAGATTTTATGTGTCCTAGAATCAAGGCATTTTAGAGCTCTAAAAATGTGATTGCCAACTGCATCCTTACACAGGAAACTGGCAGTTGCCCCCCATCAACAGAAGGACCTTTGCAAGGAAGCCATGGAAGCCTGGAAAAATAGGCTCAGCACAGAAGAGAGAAAATGGGAATTTCCAGAATGATAGTGAAGGGAAGTCTCAGTTTGGAAAACAACCAACACCAGTTTTTTAGGTAAAGCTCACAGCAACATTATCCATAATACCAAAGCCTAGAAACAATACTATGTTTAATTGGGAAATACCTGGCTAACTTTTGTAAAATAAAACAAAAAAATACAAAATAATTCTGAAAAATGGGAGGAACGAAAGTGCATGAGGTCATTCCAATTTTGAGTGTCAGCAGAATGTTCCTCAGTTCTTTTTCCTACAAAGTATCTGTGTTTATTAGGATGAGACGACTCTTGCCCTTTCAACACTATCAATCATATACTAACACAATTCTGACTTTCAAAGCAGCACATAAATATAAACATTAGTCCAATTCACTTTTTAACTTGGTATGGGAATTTAAAAGCCTTAGGGTAATGGTGGAAAAGAAGGCCTAGACTGAGGATTCTGCACCAGACTGAAACTTCTTCCTCTTGAATGTTAGTACTACATGCTATTTACCCAAGGACCATGGGGCGGCTTCTTTGTTCTCAGATTCTATTTTGAACTCTTGGAAACAGTTTAATCTGAACCAAGGGAGAAAAACTAATAAATACAGGTAAAGTGAAAAATGAAACACCAGAAAAGCACATGCAAAACACAAAGCAAAAAATCATAAAATTTTGTTATAGAAAGAGTATTCAGATAATGTAATGTACAAGCTAACATGCATGATTTGAAATTACATAGTGTCTAAGTAATAGTAATGTGAAATTTTAGACATCTTCAGGGTTTTAGACCTCTCATTTATTACGATTAAATTGTACTGAGGAAAACTTTAAATTGCTTTTAAAAAGCTAGGAACTAAGAATTATATTATAACACAGTTTCAAAACAGTCTTAGGGCAGGGGTGGGGAACTTTTTCTGCCAACGGCCATTTGGATATTTGTAACACTCACGGGCCATACAAAATTATCAGCTATGAAAAAAGCTCCTAGATTTATTGAATTTCGAGTCCCACACGCAGTTGCCTTGGCAGGGCCGGAAGTTCCTGACCCCTGCTCTAGGATAATGTGAAATGGCACTGTGCAATAGTACATGCTCAATTTTAATTTTAAACAATCTTATTAAATGAATCCTATTCGTATAATAATGACATAAATTCTAAAGTAAAACAAATAGCTTGACAAGCAAAGAGTTCAATAGTTTAAAATTAAGGAAACAGTTTAAAGTTGAAAAATATATTTTTGGAACAAAAATTATGTCTATCAAGAGAAACCCCAAGCTGACCAACATCCTTCTTCCCTGTGCTATTAAAATATACGCATGGCGGCGTTCTTACCTGGAATAAGATCTGCATAGGTCAAGCTAACATATAAGATACTGATAAGTATTTTATCAGCAAGTGGATCAAGAGCACTTCCCAAAGCTGATTTTTGACTGGCCCAGTTTCGAGCAATAAATCCATCCAACTGAAAATAGAAGTTGTTGTTTTTTAAATACATGTCATAACAGGCACAGAGTAGATATCTTGAAGAGATACCAGAATAACAACTATACTTTCACAAAATGCAAATAAAATCTCTTCTGTTTCTTAACCCCAAACCTTCTATAGTACTTTTCTTTCTCAAGGCCGTCCGGTATTTCTCAATGTTTTCACAATGTCCCTTTGTGGGATGAACCCAGACATAAATTTACAGATGTATAAATCCCCCCAAAACTCACAGAAAACATGAGTGACAGAACATGGACTAGGAGGCCCCTCTCTTAAGCCCTGGGCTGGAGGGGCCTTTACTGGCAAGGACTTCCCTTTAACTGTGAGACTCACTCCTACCTACTTTTCTATAATATTGTCCAACTCCCTCAGTTTTAACTGTTATTATTTTCAATTTTTTTTTCTTTTGCTTATTTAGTGACACTGTTAATTCCACATCTGGATGCACTGGCATGACTGATATTTGAATAAAAAACTCAATTCTCTATGTCTGCCCTAATATGAAAATTATTTATTCAGTATTTTTGCAAACAAAATATATTTTAAAGCAGAGGTCATACCTGGTTGCCAGTGGGCCAAATGGGGCCAGCAGGCTTCGTATGACCTGCCCAGAGCTTTCAAAAATATAAATCAGTTGCCAATATTCAAATATCCAAAGTCTTACCACAAAAATCCAAATCTCCAGGCCCACCCTGGGGCCACAAAATGGACTGAAAACAAGTATCACCTATCCTCATTAAACAAGGCAGATATTTTCAGGTTTTCCAAGTGTCTACCTGGCTTTTACTCACTTTAAGCTTCAAAATTGTTTGAATTTTCTAGTCCTACTTTCAAGGTAAAAAATCAACTTAGGTGTAATTTAACATGGTACATCTTCACAGGATAAGTCAGTCTTCCATATCTCAAGTATTCCAATGAGTTAGAGGAGACAGCAGTAGCACAGAACAATCGTTAAGAACTTGGTCTTTGCAACAGAACATAACTGGTTCAAGTCCTGGCTCTCCCAATTGCTATGTGGCCTTGGGCAAATTATCTGGCCTCTCTAAGCCCGTTTCCTCATCTGTAAAACAGACAGTATCACCTACCTCAAAGGCTTGGTTGTCTTCAGTAATCAACATTTAGTAAATCTTCCCAAAAAGCAGTTACTAGATATTACTACTGCAACTGAAAGGATCTATTTTCTTCTTAGGTAGAGCAGATGTAAAACTGACTAACAGGAACTACCTGGAACTGTGAGTTGGGGCCTTGGAAGATTCAGCTTTCAGTTTAGTTTCTGATCTCGGGAAACTAACCTCCCATTTTTTCACACCATCACCCTCTCATCCTCACTGTTCCTCTACCCACATAAATTCCAAGGTCATCACCATCACCACTCTGAAACGCCTGTAACTCCTACTCTAATCTCCCTTAATCCTGCTTAAACACAGCTACCCATGTACTCCAGTCAGGCCTGCACCCCAGCAGCTGAACACTGATCAAGAACAACACATAGCCCGGCTGGTGTGGCTCAGTAGTCGAGTGCCGAACCATGAACCAGGAGATCATCGCTTCAATTTCCCATCAGGGCACATGCCGGGTTGCCAGCTTGATCTCCAGTAGGAGGCGTGCAAGAGGCAGCTGGTCGATGTTTCTATCTTTCTCCCTTTCTCTCTAAAATCAATAAAAACATTAAAAAAACAACACATAAATGGGCTGATTGATCTCACTTCAAATTCATGACCAAAAATCTCCTGTGGGCACTCAATACAGCCTGGCACCCTGTATCTGCTTACCTTTTCTTTTCACACTGTCTGCTCTCACCTCAAACCAACTCCATCCCTCCCAAAGCCTCTCTCATGCTACATTTTCCATGAAAAATAGAAACAGACTGTCAGCAACCCCTTATATTCCCACCTCCAAATCCACCACTTATTGGCATCCATTCATTCCCTCTACCTTCCGATCCCTGATCCCTGATCCCAGGTCCTCTCACCTTCTGTAAGTTGCTTTCCTCCTTCCCACCTCCCCTGCATCATCAGTCTCTCCCTTCCTACCTGGTCATTTAATTAATTAGTTAATTAAGAACAAAATTGTCCCCAGTTATCTTTAAAACTACCCTTTCTTGACCCTATTTTTTTATTGCCCATAAGGCAAAACTTCCTCAAAAGGATGTTTATTGTCATTACCACCTCACATTTGACCCCACCAACCCACCCTCTACAGATGTCCCCAGTCACGACCCCCAGTAAAGTCTACATCTTTGGCTTACTTGACCGCAACACAACTGAAGCCCTTTCTTCACCTAACTTCTGGGACCCCTTACCGCCTAATATTCCCCCTCTCTCACAGCTCCTCTTTCTCAGTGTCGGTTACTCTTTTCTTTTCCACTGCCCTATCTGCTGCTCATTTCTCTGACCCCTCCCTCTTCTTTCACCATAGCCTAGATGACACTCCCAGACTTGACCATCTATATGCAGAGACCTCTCAAATCTATCTCTGACCATGACCTCCTCCAACTCCACGCTACTGCATTCAATCTACCCCACTGATCACTCTGTGAAAAGGCATAATAGTTCTTGGTATTTTTCCACAAACCATGCCCTACCTTACATGTTGCTAATCACAGAAAATGTCAACCTCCATGTAACTGCTTGTTAAAAAGAAAATAATTAACAGCCTATCAGTCACAATTAACTCCTTTTTCTCACCTCACACATCCAACCCCTCAGCGTATCGATTCTATCTTCAAAACACATCTTAAACCTATTCGCTTCTCTCCCATTCCAAACTCCCACTCCAGTTCAAACTACCAAAACCACACCGCCCATTACTGTGAGCCCCCTAACCAGCCTCTCTGCTTCCACTCTCGCCTTCTTATAAGCCACTTCCCATACACAGCATAAATCAGGCCTTGTTAGTCCCTTGCTTGAACCCTCCATGAGACCAGCCATCTGCCCAGCAGCTATTCTAGAGGCATCAAAACCACTATGGAATAAAAGTGAAATATGGTGCCAGTTAACTCAGGTTTACACACACACTGTCGTATATATTTAGAAAAATGTAAATGAGGCCCCTCTCATTCGGTGAATATTACAATCTCATGTGGCAGCTAAGAAAAACTACCAAAAAAAAAGATCAATTCTCTCTCATCAATATTTCTCTCTATCCCGCTCCCTCTCTCTCTAAAACCGATAAAAACATATTTAAAAACAAAGGATCAACTCCAGGAACGAAAAAAAATTTCATTATCAGTATAAATAGCCTTGGACAGACTTGGACACCATATTAATAATGAGCAGAGGCCTTCGGACTACAGAGATAAAAGCAGGGCTAAGAAGAGACTGTGAGAATGGGGAGTGGTGACACACAGGCCCTAGACTCTGCAGAACAGAGGTGACAGCCATTTTAAGGCCACAGTGGATGCACATCTAGAAACACCCTACAACAACGCAAGGCCCTCCTTCGTTTATTTTTCGTTAATCCTCACGTAAGGATATTTTTTCACTGCTTTTTCATAGAGAGTGGAAGAGGGGGAGGGAGGGAGAAAGAGAAAAAAAAAATCCTGCAAAATCTTCAGTCAATTCCATACTGCTCACCAGAGCTATCAGGCAGGTGGAATTTTGTTTCTACCAACCTCAAAGGCAACAGCAGATGTTACAAAGAAAGATGCTGTAAAACTTTTATTAATAGGAAATTAGTTTCTCTCTATTCTCACAAAATACTTAGCAAAGCTTTGACATATAAATCTGTTTTTAGAGGCACCAAATCATTGCTGCTTGTGCGGGTCCTCACATGGACCTAGGCCAACCTTGTACAGGAATACACTGCCTATTTCTACACGCTAACTTTGCCCCAATTCAAATTTTTCCTCTGCCTTTCCCCCACGTCCTTCAACTGTGTTACTGTAGGACATGTAGTTTTATAAGCCACTTCAAATCCCTTATGAAACGAGGCAGGAGATAAATACAAGCAATGTCATGTATGAAGATGGCTGGTCAGTCCATGAAAGCCTACTTAACTCACAATGTAGCCTTCTCTTAGAAATTATTTTCTAAGTTCTAATTGGAGATAGCCCAAATAAATTCTCTCTTCTATCCCCCAACCTCTCTCCTCTGTCCATCTGCTGGGGGAGTAGAAGGAATGATGCCTAATGCCCACCCAGGTCAGGGTAATCTGCTGGGTGGTAGAAGAGAATGACACAGGAACCATGGACCAAATCTGTGGGGTGCCTGTGGCCTCTCCCACCAGCATAAACCTGAGCAGAGCTCTGGCCTCTACAAGCTACCTGATCACAACAACTAGCCGACTATTTTCCTGCCTGCCAGTAAAAACCAACTATTGGTGAAGATCAGAATATTTCTATTACAATAAATAGAAAAATAGTGTCACAGCTTCTTTCCTTTGTTTCTATCCCTAATGCAAGTACTTCGCTCCCTGGGAATTTCTAAGTGTTTTTCCATTATGAAGAAGTTAAAACCCAAAGTAAAAAGCTCCCTCTCCTATGCCTCCATACAACTTCCACTATCTTCCTTAGATCATACAACAGAGTCCCACACAGATGCTAAAGACGAGTCCTTACACAAAGTACCAGGTGAAATTCGTCTTGAGGATTCCCTTCCAAGAAAAGGCAGACTAAGGCTGAGCTAATTCCGTGTAGTAGAGACCCTGGGATATGGAAGGGGAGCGACACAGAGGAAGTGACTTTATAACTTACCAAATCAGTTAGCCCAGCTAAAGCAAAAACTCCTAATGCAATATTAAAATCTTCTTCAATAATCAAATAGCCCAAAACTGGGGCCAAGCCAATTCTCGTCATTGACAACATATTTGGGATTGTCCATGGGTTTTCATACTAAAACAAAAAGACAACAAAATTTAAATTAAATTCATACTTTAAGTAAATATATACATTAGAAAAATACACTTTATAAACTTCAGGGTTAGACTTTAAATTTAGAACTTTAAATTGAGTTTTAAAATCTATTTTTATAAACATCGCTCTAAAACTGTCAAGAATATAGAAGATGAAGATGTATCATGTACCCAAAGGTAGGCTAAAATGTCTACAAGAGCCCTGGCCTGTGTGGCTCAGTAACATGCCACTGGTTCAATTCCTGGTCAGAACCCATACCCAGGTTGTGGGTTTTGATCCCCAGTCAGGGTGCTCAGGGTGCATACAGGAGGCAACCAATCAATGTTTCTCTCTCACACCAATGTTTCTCTCTCTCCCTCTCCCTTCCCCCTGCTCTCTCTCTAAAAAAAAAATTTAAAAATCAATAGAAATATTTAAAAACTAAAAAAATTAAGTGTCTACTATACATAGAGTAGGTTTCTTCCTGAAGAAAGAACAAACATGTATTATCCACCATATAAGTGAAACCTTTAATATATGACCTCACCATTAGAATTCAAAACTTTAAACACTGCTTTTAGAAGTGAAACTTCAAGAAGATCTTATATTTCAAGAAGATAGTCTAGAAAGTGTCAGGGGGGAAAAAAACACGAATTATCAACCCCAGGCATTCTGGCTTAAAAATATTTATTGCAAATAACCTCCCTCACTCCTCTACACATACCCATCAAAAGAATGCTAAATGATACACTTTATTCTGTTAATAGGAATAAAGGGGAGGAAAACACTGAATTCCACCACCTCACTACTAAACTGGAGAACTGCTGGAAAAAATGGAACTAGGAATAGGGATTGAGATTCTTAGGAAATAAAGGGAAATCTGAAAAACTGTTCAAAATAGCCACAGAGATGTTAAGATCCCCGGAAATGTCCCCAACTAGAAACCAGGAGCTTTCCAAGCTCCCCTGTCTGTGGGAGCGTTATGATTCCTTGAAACTTCATTTGGAGCCAAGCTGTCTGAAGTTGGCACTAACAAAAGGGCGGCTTCTTGGCAGCTGCTCTGAAAAGAATTCCTTCCTTGCCAAACAATGTTTCAGGAGAGGGTATTTCAACTTTAAAAAACCTTAGCCTGCGGAGCTGACACCCTGTACAATGGGGTACAGAAATAATACCAAGAAAATGTCTCTCCCTAAAGCCTAGGTTCTCCCCCCAGTGAGTCAAGACTGCCAATTCCAGCCCATGGGGCTATCTCACAAGACTAACCCTAGTCAACCTCTTTCTTAATCAGTAACCAATTTGCCTGAACCTTAACCTCGATTCTTTAAAAAAAGTGGTCAATTCCATTTCTAAAGACATCTTTTAAAATTCCATGGAGCATACTGTAAGAAAACAGAGTTCTCTAAAGATACAAAGTTTGTGTTTTTAAACAGAACCTGGCAAGAAAAGTTCACCTCAGCTTGGCAGGATAATGGGGTTATTAGGATCAGGTGGCAGAAAACCGTCCTTGAAAGCTCCAGAAAAACTTCAGATTCTCCAGGAAATAGCCACCAAACAAGAAGCAATACAAACCTCTACCCAGGGGCCTTTTATTGAAAATAAAAGACCACATTATATAATTAAATGGAAACATTCCTAGGATATATTCCAAATTCAAGTTCAAAGGTCAGAGTGTTTCAGAGTCCAGAGAAAAAAGTAACTCTGTTGACCACATACTGTGGTACAAAACAAGTCAAGTAACGGATTCAGTGTTACAACAACTCATAGAGGAGGGGAAAGGACAGTTCATGACTGAGAAAAACAACACAGCAAAAGATCAGAATAACGAGGCCCACAATTAATCTCAGATATTCGTGGGGGAAAATTAAACAGCGAGATCCCTTCACCTGTTGAATTAATAAACCAGGCTGAATGCAGGGAAAGGGGTTCTTTTTAACGTCACATAAACGACTTCAGTCAAAAAAATGACCTCACTTATTTATAATCATTAAATCTGTACATTTCTGAATGGAAATTAAGAGAGCTAATCTCAGACCACCCAAATAACCTGTGGCATACTTGACCAACTACTGCCGCTCTGGGAAGGACTTCAGGCAGCATATGGCAACCTCAAAGCATCCAGCACTCAGACCCTGACATGCTCTGGTTAGGAGGCGGAGACCCCTGCCAGGATGTGGCCACCTCAACCCATGCTGCTCAACTCAGCAGAGCAGTGCAGGGGCCCACTGAAGACCTAACAATTGAAGATGTAATAATTGCATGAGCCCAACATGACATCAAAAGCTCTCCCTACATTCATGCTCTGGTGTCTTCTCCTTGGGCAAGTGTTTCAACGGGTAAGTAGACAAATGTTTCCCTCCGTTACCTCAAGAGAACGTTAATCTTTTTTTGTAATTAGACGTTAAGGAATCTTTCAATTACGACTTCAGTTACTTAATTATCATTCATCTTGTAATGTTGCCAAAGGTCAAATACTAGTCAACCGAACCCGCACAGGCGAACGGGAAGGCCTGTGTGGCTTGCTGGTGATTCCACAGGCTTCCCCTAAGCTCTAGAGATCGCTGCATTAAATTAAAAATAGGCTTTTACAAGACAAGCGAGGCAGTTTACCACAGCGGCGGCGAGGCC